GGGGGGGGGGGGGGGGGGGGGGGGCAGCCATGTGACCTGAGAAACCACAGTACCTATGGAGATGCCGGAGTAAAAAAATAGCAGAACTGGCATCTCCTAGTATTGTAGATCAGGCAGTGTTGGGGTGGGGGTGGGGGGGCTTCCCCTGGATTTCATAAATCTTGGAGAGTCTGCGGTTATTCATCAGCGGGTTACGTAACGGAGAATCGCATTATAGAAGCGCATCTTCCCAGAAGGTGTGGGAGCAGATGGAGCCGGGGCATCTTGGCGGCGGTCTAGTTAAAGAGCAGGTCTCCCTTCTCCTGGGGAGGCTGCTGATGCATTGTTCAGCAAGTGCAAGGGGGGGAGGCAGAGGGCTGTGGGCGGATTATGATCGAGTTAAAGATGAAGAGACGGAGGAGGAGGAGGAGGAGGAGGAGGAGAATCTGGAGGTGATCACGTTCATTTCACGTCATTTCTGCTGCTACGGTTTGTGTTTCACAGTCTCCCGAACCAAAATCCTCAGCTGATTAGGCTGCAGACTTCACTTTGGATTACACAGGGGAAGATATGGGATGCCTGTGGAGAGAGTGCGTGTGTGTGTGTGTGCTTGTGTGCATCATATTCAAACACAATCAACCTCAGTGGCATGGGGGGAAAATCAATTGCTGAAAAGTTTGCATGGATTGAAGGTGTAGGAGGTTATGACACTTCAAATCTCAACGAGGCAGCCATGCTGAATAATAATGCAGCCTGTGCATGCTCTGCATTGAAGATACTTTCTATTAAGTGCATTCAAGAGTCCTCTGGTAGATGAAATATATAAACCCGGGGCACATCAGCATCTCAAGTGCAGCATATTTCGCTCATGCTCATTTAAATGCCCGTTAATGGCAATTCAAATGTAATTTTCCTCGCTGCCAGTGATTGGTTTCAGGTGGAAATGTGCATACGCTTACTAAAATTAGAAATATCAGAAATTGGACATTTCATCACATAAAGTGCAGACATGACGGCCGCATCATGGATGTTTGCTTAAAGTTCTTCACTGTGCCGGTGTGGCAGCTGCCCGCTCGGACACTCTCCACAGAGCTGCAGGAGTTATTAGATATATGTCTCTTTGGTACAGATATGTGCCTCCATTAAACCGACTCGATTCTGACACTTCCCAAAGCGAGAACTCCCCCTCGTCTAATAAAGATGGCTTGTCAGCTTCTGGAAGAATTCGATCTCCAGGCTGGATGCTAGTCTGAGCAAGTCGAGTTGATTTCTCGTGGTGTTTCGATGAATATCAGTTAATATGATTTCAAAGCACGTTTTTATTTTTTCCCTGTTGCCCCTGCAGGTTGAATACGCAGCACTTATCTCTTCACGTGATATCTCAAACAGGCTTTTTGCCCCCCCCCCTGTGTTTTATCAATCCTACAAAATTGCTTAATACAGTTTTGTCTACCTTTCATTTTTATGATTTGAGTGATTATGAAGGCGCTGTTTTATTTTTTTAGGGAGGATTTGATGGCCAATAGTTCTTTGTAATGTTTCTAAACCTTTCACTTGTCAGTGTCAAAACCTGACAAAGACTCTGCAGTAAAGTATCGGATGGAGTCACAGAAACTGTGGACTCAGCACGCTGTGGTGCCCTGCGGAGAATCGAATCTTCTGATCAGCACTTTTGATATCCTCACATTTAACGTTAAAGATGCCAAAAAAAAGAGACTAAAACAAGCTCATGTTTCTATATTATAGACGTTTGTGAGCATGTTAAGCTGCTGTTGTTTTTTTGTTTCTTAATATCCCAGCTAGTCCATCTCGTTGCTGCCATTTTCAGACTTAGTTGACATTTTAACAAAAAGGCCTCAGGCGGACCTCATTTCTCGAAAGCCAAATTGCAGGAAATGCTGGTCGGACACCATCACTCAGCGTCCCCACGTCTAATTCAATCACATTCAGCTTTTCTGGTTCACCTCGACCTGCTTGTTCCTGCCTACATCTTACCGGACTGAAACAATAAAAGGTTTCCTCCTCCAGGACAGGACGGTGCGTCATTGTGTTAATGTAACTGCTCCATATTGACTTTGACAAATTGAGCCGTCATGAAACTTCACCAATTAGGATAAAGATGTTTTCGCGGCGGCCTCTCCGGCCTTCGGCGTCTGTCATTCAGACGGTGCGGGGGTCAGCAACTGAGCTGGGACTGAGCCGCCGTGTCTGGCTGTCGGACATTTTTTGATGGAGGTTCACAACGTGGAGTATAAATGATTTCAACGTTATTCAATTTCACGCTGAAGTCCCACTTTTGGAAGCCTCGGTAAGATTTCAGGTCTGTGCGAGCCACAGGGAGGCGAAATAAAAATCAATTTGGTGTTTTTTGATATTGAGATATTATAAGTTAATAGATTTTTGTATGTTTACTTCTTCCATTTTGTGCCCATCAATCTCCCAAGTTACCACGGCGGCCATCACACCGAGCTCCATTTAACTTGAACTGGCGGAGCGTGGCTTAATTGTTAATTGTCAGTCACCTGTGGAACTAAATCTCCCAGAGCTATTTCACAGGCCGAGCGTTTGAGATTTTCATCAGTCACAGATATGCTGGTTAAATGAACACAGCAATTAATCCCACCCCGGTGCCGTTATCTGTATCTGCAAACTCATTACATAACTGTTTGCAGTACGCAAATGGCCTCAACAGAGAGACACTGGCTCTTTTATTTTGTAAACCTGAGCTTCATGGACTGTAGCAGCTTGATAGAAACCAATAAAGACTCCTGTGTTAGATCAGTCAGCAGCTGCTCCATAGGTTTGTGTGTTATTAGCGCGGGTGGGGGGGCATCAGTAGGAACACCGGTCTTCCTCCTGACTTCTTCTTTGTAAAACGGTGTTGTCAGCTTCATAACGAAGCTCCCTGCTTATTGTCTCAGCGTGCAAGGGCGGCACAGGAACGGAGACAAAAGGCGTGGGAAATTACATGGGAGCTTGTGCCCAAATGTGTCTCTATTCTTGGCCCTCTTTTTTGCAACGGCACGGAAAGAAAAGCCTTGAAAGGAGCGAAAAAGGAGGAGACCGAACAGAAGTGTGTTATATGCTGTAGATGTTCTGCTTCTTCTAGAGACATGCAATAGAAAGATACGCAGCAGGATTGTGGTTTTTGCATGAAAATCACAGAAAGAACCAATGATATTGTCTCATGTTATGATTAGAATCTCAGCATCTTATGAAGAATAGCAAGGGTATATGAAAATCTGAATTAAAGCAAAGTTGGTTTAATAGTTAACGTGACTTTACGGTGTCATAGCAGGATGACGTCGGTTTGTGGCTGAGTAACGTTGTGATTGGCAGTTCCATTTATCTGAACAACTGCAGTATTGTAACAGGATGGTGGCGAGATACAAGAATGCAGCAGAAGGCCAGGTGGTGCACGACAAGTGACACGTAGCTGTTGCAAAAAGGATATTGGAGAAAGATGATGATCCATGTAGCATGATCGTTTGAAGGGTATGGATATTGATGAGCAAGCGCGAGTGACGTGTGAGAAGCTGCAACGTGACCTTTCAATACTCGAAAGCTCTCTTCCTAAAATGATGGTGAAGCCTGGTCGAAGGGATTTCTTTCACTTTAAAATGGCCTCCATCTCAACCTCCCTTAGTATTCTGGTGCTTCACGGATATGCCAACACATTACTGCACATTATAGCCATCATTAGTCATGGCTTCCAGTGAATTGATTCACTAAAATCGAGCATATCTCATCCCTGCTCCCCGATGATCGTCTCTAAACTAACAGCGATATTACTACTCCTACATTATAATAGAGATTACAGAATGCATCAGAAGCTATTGCATAAAAGCGAGTTTTACAAGGCGAGTTTGAAAAAGACGACACCAGAAGCGAGCGGGGGTTTGCAAACTAATGTGTAGAGGCGGAGGAGGACTGGGAGCCACCAGCCCACACAAACCTGCCAGTAGAAACGTTGCATCTCTCTGCAGCTTCCTCCTACGTTCTCTCACTGGTCATTTTGTCATCTCCTACAAACCGCTATGTGCCTCCGTGTTTCCCCTCAACCACACTGACCTTTTTTTTTTCTTCTTCTCTTTTTCTGTGTTAAGTTGTTCCATTCTCTCCGGCCAAGTCTGCAAACCTCACCCACTGTTTTCTGCACCTCGAATTTCTTCATCTGACACTTCAAACGAGTAGTAACATATTGGCTGCGGGCTGGTAGTGATGGTTGCAAGAAGCAAATAGTCATGAAGTCAAGACTACCGCCTATTCATCCACCCATGCATGTTCAGTACATTTGCAGGTGCAAACGCACACATACGTGCACACACACACACACACACACACACACACACACAGCAAACAAACACTGATCCTTGGCACTTCATGTTTAGTGTGTTCTGTCAGTGGAAAGAGGATAATTAGCAGTGAGCATCAATGTTGCTTTTACAGCTCAGGTTATGCAATGAATACACACTCTGTCACAGTCTCTCTCCCATTCAATCTTATACATTCTCCGCTTCTCTCTCGCACACCACACAAACGCACAGGCTCTTTCTTTTTCTCTCTCTCTCTCTCTTTCTCTCTCTCTCTCGCTCTCTCTCTCTCTCAAAACCTGAATTTTTAGAGACGGAAGCGTCTGGAATTTTTTTTTTCACCACCTCCCACAGACGTCCTCGAACCTATCATTTTCTCTGCAGTGGAGCAATGGTGACGTATGCTCGTCGCTAGTGCAGCTGAATTTTAAAAAGCTCTACACCCACGCTCAATACCACTACTGCAAGCGTAATTATCATAAACTTTCCTTGCTGTCTGTAGCCCTTCAGTCTCCGTGCACGGTGCTCCTGACTTATTCATTTGCAGATATTAATTCAGTGGCGATGCAGAAAGGGGGAGAGTGGATGTCTTTCTTTTTTAAATTGGCAGGTTATTGTGTAATCTCTAGTGCTGCACGTATTTTCTGTGTGTGTGTGTGTGTGTGTGTGTGTGTTCCTGCATGCAGAGATGGACAGATTGGCTTACGTCACACCAAGACTGCAGTTTGTTTACATTATGTCTCTAAGCGATTCTCACTGTGCCATTTGAAGATACTAATGTGAAACATTATTTTGGGGGCGAAAGGCTTGATTTCAGTGTGCGGCTTTAACATGCATTCCTGTGTGTGATTCTTTTTCTAAACTATGTGAAGCAGATCTTTCAAGGGAATTTACAGTTTAACTGATCTGTTTGTGATTTTTCGAGGAGTCACGTCAAGTGTTAATTTGTGCCACAGAGGGCTGAATAGTCACACCCAGGAAAGCATCAGTGCTCCAGAGGAACTCCCTTGTGACTGCCCACACTTCTAATTAACCGTGATAATTTATCCCGCCCCCCTCCTCCTTCTTTTTTCTTTCCCCTTAAAGATGTAATGACAGCTTTTCAATCTTAGTTATGTGCCACACAGCGGCTTGATCAGTCGGAGAATACATGGGTTATGAAACGTAAAAGTATGTAATAACAATAGCACCTGCACTATAATTAGAAATGACTATTTTCGCTATTGATTTGTCTGTCAATTATTTTACAGATGAATCATTTAGTCTATGAAATGGCAGATAACTGTGAAAAAGATAAATTCCCTGAAGGCCCCGGTGAAGTCATCATTGCTTGATTTCTTCTACCAACTGTCCTGCACTTCAGTTTATTATCACAGAAAGAAAGGAAGCAGATTATAGTCAAAATAAATGAGGTGGAGCCAGAGAATATTTGTCACTTTTGCTTAAAAATGTAATTATTGTTACACAACACAACTAGTGCACTGTATCGTAAATGGAGAGCGATTTTGGACACACACTACAATCTATATGTGTATCGTCTTCTTAAGTCTCTGTGCTGAACGGTCACTTATTAGCAATGTAGCTAAACATTACTGTTTCACTGTATCTGAAAATCTGCAAGCAGAGAAATAATTAGGGAGGTAAGGACCATAAATTGCATAAAAACAAAAAGACTAATGGGGACATCATGGAGTCATGGACCAACCTAATTTCTCTCATCCTGGTATGTTTGGTTAAACCCCCCCTAGGAAACATAAACACAGGGAGCTCCGGTTGTAGTTTTTTTTCTAAAACTAACATAATATTAATGTTGGGTCATACAGCCCCGATCAATGTCTACATAGTATTTAAATAAATGTTCTGACAATTGTTATTTTCTTCTTCCCTGTATACATTCAAACTAATGTCTCAACATTATCCCGTCTTTTGCCCGAATGGAGCACAGCTACTTGCATTTCTTTGCTGGCAACCAGCTAGAATTTATAATCCAGACGATGGTATCGGGAGTCATTTGGTGTGATTGAAGCCTCGGGCAGAATGGCGTACAGGGCTGATTAGAAATCCAGAGCGCATGTGTTTGCTCTGTGCCCATCGCTGTCTCTCAGGTCGGATGTCTCTCTAATCAAGGACGCTTTCTGATAACTGAATAATTCACACCTTGTGCGATGCATTCACATGCTCACATTTGGCTATATTTAAAGTCATGACATCAATACCTGGAAAAAAAAAGAAAAGTTCTCACTAAACCTTGTGAGTCACTTCCCGCGAGCTTTGGCAACGATTTGTCATGCAGAGCTCTCACCGAACACCTCCGAATACCGCGGATGACACGTATGTTTGTGCTTTCAGAAAGTAACGCATACGGATGCTGGAGGCTTGTCAGGTGTGAGTCGTGCTGCTGTTGAGTATGTGTGAATGAGATCACCAACACCTTATTGACAAAAAAAGAAAGTATGCAGCGTAGGACTACAACCACCTACCAGCCCTTATGCTCATCATCCTAAATCAGGTCGCCGCCTTCGTCGACTGTTCCTGTTGCCCCGTTTGCCAGATGAAGCGAACTGTCTCCTTGAACGAGTGCACATATGTGCACAGCCGTCTTCCTCACGCTGACTCACGCTCCAATGCTGACGAGGGGTTAGTAAGCTTTACTCGTGGCTTGGATGCATCACGCAATATGCTAGACAACACCAGCACGGCTTCTGTGTCCGTACATAAACAAGCCAGAGCTGCCCGTCTGTCACGTCTGCTGTTGGAACGTATCTGTCCTGAGCTTCCTGCTAACAGGTATTCAGAAGGCATCACAGGCCTCTGAAATTGCCTCAGCCCTGAAGGTAATTGATGATACTGTGAAAACCTCTCCTCGCTATCTCCAGGCTTACGGTGGTCGGAGACTGCAGCGTGGAGACATCCGAGTGAGGTCGTCTAATTTCAAAAGTTAAAGTTAGCTCAGAGTTTAAATCAAATTTTCAGTCCAGACGACAACATCTGGGCTTTGGGTGTCGACCGATAGCGAGTACTGATCCAGTATTATTGTTTGATTAAGAGGTTGTATTCCTCACTGTGTGGAAGAGACCGGGATCATTCCTCTACGTGTGAGGCAACACCAGGCTCGACTTTAACGGGGCACTCCTAACTTTGTAAATCTAAATGTAACAAATAAATACATGGATATATATTTAGTTCATTGTTGTTTTTTTTTGTATAAAAATAATAAATGACAAGCCAGCAACTTGAGAAGAAATCTTCAAAATTAACAGGAATTACAATTTAAATCCCTCGAGTTTTGTTTTTGAAAATATTTTAAAATGCAATCTTCAAATCAGTATGCATTACCTGAGTGATGTGATTATCGCGACTGAAAATGCAAATACTATTGATTAACATAAGCCCTTATTGAATTCAATTAAGAAGAAGAGGTGTTTTTCTATGAGGATACCTGTTCTGAATAAAACTTTTGTGTTTTTTCCCATTAGATTAAAAAAGAAAAGAAAATGGCCCCTGTTGTTTTCAGATTTACTTTATAAAAAAATGTACAATAACAATGTAATGTATTTGTAAAATGCCAGTAGAAAGTGGAAAAGGGCGTTTGGGATATTCAACAAAAAACATCTTTGTATCTTTCTGTTTATGACATTTACCGACAGCGACAGCTTTGCTGATAGAGGTGACGCTTTTGTGTTGGTAAGGATTTTGAATGTAGCTTCAGGAAAGGAAAGGACAAAGTCAGATCGGAGTCATGTTGTCAAAACAACAACAGTACACTCATGTTTGTAACAGTGACACAAACACACACAGATGAATAGATAAATGTCCGACACACACGCAGTACATCTGCTCACAGCGAGACTAATGTGTACACACTGACACGGAGGCGGAGGGTAATTCAGGAACCTCAAAACAAGCTAATCCAGTTTTTCTGAAAAACCCTCCCAGCTGCCATCAAGATACGGTTTCAAGAAGGAGAAACATTGAGCTGTGGGACAGAGGAGGCGAGAGGGGCGCACAAGAGAAGCTCTGTTTCTGTGTCAGTACTTTGAAATCTCGTGATTTACCACAGCCCGGGTTTCCTCTGGACCTATAGACGACAGGATAGCCGATTAACTTTAATCCTATCAGTGTTTCTCATGTAGGACGTTGTTAGCCAACACCTGCATTAAGAATTACCAGTAGGAACCGACTCCAAGAGAGCCATGACACATGGGCTCTCTGGGCCACTTCCTGAGACTGTCCGGTAAGCGGTCGGGCTTCTGCTGGTAACCACATTATCGGGTCTGCATGGCCACAACATGATGCAGCTGACAAAAGAAGACTTTTTTTTTTTTTTTGTGCTGGACAAAAGCGACAGAGGGCCTGGAACATGCAGGAGCTGAGAATTGAGCTGTAAGGAGATTTTCACAGCAATGCCTGATGGAAGCAAAAGAAAAAAGGCATGAGGAGGAGAGGGGGAATAAAGGATGACCAACGATTCTAACTGACACAGGATATTTCAGGCACCAGGATGTCTTCGTTTTGAGTCATAGAGAAGCTCCTTTTGATGTAAAATATGTTGCTGTGCTTCGGGGGTCGTAGACGAACACGACACCACCAGGTCCAGTTGAGCGAAAAGGACTGTTTGCTTGACGATGAGCCTCATATCATTCCAAACCCCTGCTTCAAAGACTCAGGTAAAGGCTGCCACAGTGAGCTGTGACTGCTTAACATGGGACCTAACTTCACTGTCAAGACGTCTTGACATTTTACTGGTATTACTTAATACTCTCTCATAAGAAATGTCAATGTGTGTGTGTGTGTGTGTGTGTGTGTGTGTGTGTGTGTGTGTGTGT